ATACTGGTCTGTAGTGTGTGTGTGTGTGTGTGTGTGTGTGTATGTGTGACCTTTCAGGATTCTTATGTCTATGTTCATCAGAGATACTGGTCTGTAGTGTGTGTGTGTGTGTGTGTATGTGTGACCTTTCAGGATTCTTATGTCTATGTTCATCAGAGATACTGGTCTGTAGTGTGTGTGTGTGTGTTTGTATGTGTGACCTTTCAGGATTCTTATGTCTACGTTCATCAGAGATACTGGTCTGTAGTGTGTGTGTGTGTGTGTGTGTGTGTGTGTGTATGTGGTGTGTGTGTGTGTGTGTATGTGGTGTGTGTGTGTGTGTGTGTGTGTGTGACCTTTGTCCCGTTTCAGGGTGATTCTGGCCTCATAGAGTGAGTATGGAAATGTTCCTTCCTCTGCAACTTCTTGAAATGGTTTGAGAATAACTGATATTGATGCCTCGCTAAACATTTCATAGAATTCAGCTGTGAAGCTCTCTGGCCCTGTACTTTGCTTGTTGGGAGAGTTTAAATTACTAATTTAGTTTTACTAATGGTAATTGTTTTATTCACATTATCTATTTCTTCCTGGCTCAGTCTTGGGAAGACTTGTACCTTTCTAAGAATTTGCCCATTTCTTTCAGGTTGCTCATTTCACTGGCATATAATTGTTCATAGTAATCTTATGATCCCTTGTATTTCTGAAGTATCTGTAACTTTTTAATTTCTGATTTCATTTATTTTAAAAAATTTTTATTTATAATTTTTTGCAGCACTGGATAGTTCTTCATTACTGCACACGGGCTTTCTCTAATTGTGGTGAGTGGGGACCTACTCTTTGTTGCGGTGTGCAGTCTCCTCATTGTGGCGGCTTCTCTCGTTTAAGAGCATGGGCCCTAGGCACATGGGCTCAGTAGTTGTGACTCACAGGCTTAGTTGTTCCACAGTATGTGAGATCTTTCTGGATCAGGGATCAAACCTGGTTTCCTACATTGGCAGGCAGATTCTTAATCACTGGACCACCAGGGAAGTCCCTAGTTTCTAGTTTTATTGATTTGGGTCCTCATCTTTTTTCTTAATGAGTATGGCTAAAGGTTTATCAATTTTATCTTTTCAAAGGACCAGCTCTTAGTTTCATTGGTCTTTCCTATTGCTTTTAAAAATTTCTAATTTTGTTTTTGCTCTGCTCTTTATGATTTTTTTCCTTCTACTAATTTTGGGTTTCATTTATCCTATTCCTAATTCACTTAGGTGTAAGATTAGGTTGTTGTCTTCAGAATTTTGTTTCCTGAAGGAGTGTATTATTACAGAATTCCCTCTTAAAACTGCTTTTGCTGAGTCCCATAGGTTTTGGACCATTGTGTTAATTCTTTTTGTCTCTGGTATTTTTTGATTTGGTTTCTTCAGTGATCCATTGGTTGTTTAGTAGAATATTGTTTAGTCAACGTGTGTTTATGCTTTTGGCATTCCTTTCCTTGTAGTTGATTTCTAGTCTCATTGTGTTGGGGTTGGTAAAGATGAATGATATGATTTTTATTTTCAGAAAGTTACTGAAACTTGTTTTGTGGCCTAACATAAGATTCATCCTGCAAAATGTTCCATGTGCTTTGAAAAGAATGTGTATTCTGCAGCTTTTGGATGCAATATTATATATATATATTAAGTTCGTTTGGTGTAATGTCTCATTTAAGACCACTGTTTCCTTATTCTTTTATTTTTGTCTGCGTGATCTAGTCATTGATGTGCACTCTGCTCTGCTGTGGTCACCAGAGCTATATGCTCTAAAGGTGCTATGTGGGCTGCATGGATCCTTCTCTTGTGGCAGGCTGACTACTGTGGGTGATATGGTAGGCATGGTTGGCTCCCAGACCAGTTGGTCGCAGGCCCTGTCTTGTGCAGAGGGTGCAGCTACTGACTGGCAGGGCCAGGTCACAAGGTGGCTGGCTGTGGAATCTTGCGTGAGTGCAGGGCTAGTGCTGCCCTACTGGTGGAGAGAACTGGGTTCTGAAGTATGTAGGTGCAGGGCCAGTGTTCCTGGATCTAGTGTCATCCTGCTAATGGTTGAGGCTGGTTCCTGACATGGCTAGCTGTGGGGTTTGGGGTGTCTCAAAGCTGGTGCTGGCCACAAATGAGTAGGGTGGGATCCTGCGGCAGCTGGCTGAGGGATCCAAGTTGTCTTAGAGCTGGGTTGACCTGATGGTGGGTGGGCCTGCAGCCTGGGGAGCCCTCAGGTGGGTGCTGACCTGCTGGTGTGAGCTGGGTCCTGCCATGCCAGGCTGCAGGAATATGGTGGTCTTGGGGCTGGTGTTCACTTGTTGGTGGGTGGGGCTAGGGCCCAGGGTGTCTGGTTCCTGCCCACTGGTGTGTGACATTGTTCCTGAGGCTAGTGCTGGCTCGCTGGTGGGCAGAGTCCTGTCTTGTGGTCCTGCCAGTGCATTTTGGGTGGGGGACTGGGTCCTGGGCCCTGTGCCCTCTGGTGGCCAGCACTGTGTCCTAGACAGGCTGTGGGCTCAGGGAGTCTTGTAGTTTCCTGCTGGTAGGTGGAGGTGTGTCCCCACCTGGCTGATTGCTTGGCCTGAGGTCTCCCAGTACTGGCGCCAGCAGGCTGGTGGGCAAGGCCAGGTCCCAGTGCCAATAGGCTAGAGGGAAGACTCCACAATGGTGCTTGCCAGCAGTAGTGTCCTCAAGTTAGAGCCAGCTGCCAAAAATGGATACTGCCAGTGTCTGTGTCTCCTGCCTCTCCAGAAGGCTCTCCCAGATAAGCAGGGAGGTCTGACCCAGGTTCCTTTCAAACGACTTCTGCCCCAGATCCCAAAGCATGTGAGATTTCTGTGTGTGCTCTTTAAGGCTTGTTTCCCACAGCCTTCTGGTTCTCCCAAATGTCAACCCTACTGGCCTTCAAAGCCAAGCATCTGGAGGCTCATCTTCCTGGTGCAGAACTCATGGGCTGAGCAGCACAGTGTGGGGCTCAGACCCATGTAATTATCCTCTTATTTGTGGGTCGCCTACACAGGGGTGTGGGTCTCAACTTACTGAAATTCTTCCCCTCCTACCCATCTCCTTGTGGTTCCTTCTTTATAACTTTTCTTGGAGATGGTCTTTTCTGCTAGATCAATAGTTCCTCTGTAAATACTTGTGGTTTTGGTGTGCCTATGAGTGGAGGTGAGCTCGGGGTTTTCCTACTCTGCCATCTCAGCCGAGGTCCTCTAGAATATTGGATAAAGTCTGTATTCAGAAGTCAAGCAGGAGACATAAACTTGGAATTCATCAGCACATAAACATTATCCAAATTATGAGATTAGATAAGATTACCAAAGGGCATATGTGTGGTTCAGACCAAGAGTGAATCCTGGAGCAGTCCAATGTTAAAAGCAATCAGTGAGGTAAGAACAAACCAAGCCTAGGTAGCAAGCATGAATGAGAAAAGAGCAATCAGCTGCATCAAATGCTGTTGACATGCAGGGAAGAGGGCCGAGAGTGGACCTTCAACTTGAGCAATGCAGAGGTCACTGGTGACTCTGACAAGAGCTTAAGTTAGGAGGCAAAAACTCTACTGAAGTATTTAAGAGAGTGAGTGAAAAAGAACTAGAAATCATAAGCACAGGTATTTTTTCAAGGACTATTGCTATAAAGAGGAGCAAAGACAGGCAGTGGAGGCTACCTGGGGAGGAGAGGTGTATGTTACAGGGGATTCCAGGAGGATGTGCTCATAGGCTCCATGTGCATCTTTTTACACATCCTTAGACAAGACCCAGTCTTTTTACTCAATACACATGGTGAGTGCACTGTGCCTGGCCCTGCTCAATTATGCATCTGGTTACTAGTCAAACCTCTTCTTACACCTGCAGCTGAAAAGCAAAGTGCTGTTCACTGCCTCACAGAAGTTTCCAGCATTGGATAGGTATTCACAAAGTGTGACTGTTGGATTCAGGAAGGATCTGACCTCCCAGCCTGCTTCTCTCATACAATGACTGGTTGGATTACATTAAATACCATCATTCTCAGAATGCACAAACCTAAGTCCTTCCCATCTCCATTCCCGACCACAGTCCTCTATTTGTAGAGACTATACATTTCTGGGTACAACGTGCCCCCAATATCACCCCCTCCACACCTTTCTGGAGTATGAGAGAAACAAACTTTAGTTTCTGGGTGGAGGGAGGTTGAAGAGAATAAACACTGCTCTGCTACTGCTAAGTTGCTTCAGTCGTGTCCGACTCTGTGTGACCCCACAGACGGCAGCCCACCAGGCTCCCCCATCCCTGGGATACTCCAGGCAAGAACACTGGAGTGGGTTGCCATTTCCTTCTCCCATGCATGAAAGTGAGAAGTGAAAGTGAAGTCGCTCAGTCGTGTCCGACTCTTAGCGACCCCATGGACTGCAGCCTACCAGGCTCCTCGGTCCATGGGATTTTCCAGGCAAGAGGACTGGAGGAACACTGCTCTTAGTTGCCTCTAAAAGCAGCTCATGCAGCTGAGGGGTGGGTGCCAGGTTTTCTGATTGGAACACCTAAGTGTAAGTGCAAGAGAAATTTGTCCCCCCTTCCTCTCTTTCAAAAGCATGAGTATTCCAATTGTTTTTTCCTGCAGTTGAGACTCAGTAATTTTACACTGAGACATTCTTAGCAGATTGTCAATAGATTGAGCACTGCATATGGTTTTTGGTGACAGGACATCTTCTATTTATTTTTCCTCCATGTACCTTATTGGAAAACTGGGATGGACTAAACCAGGGTGAAAGTGAAAGTCACTTAGTCGTGTCTGACTCTCTGCGACCCCATGGACTATACAGTCCATGGAGTTCTCCAGACCAGGATACTGGGGTGGGTAGCCATTCCCTTCTCCAGGGGATCTTCCCAACCCAGGGGTTGAACCCAAGCCTCCTGCATTGTAGGTAGATTATTTACCAGCTGAGCCACCAGGGAAGCCTGAATCAGGTTAGCCAGATGGTATTTCAAGTAAGTTATGCTATGAAGTGAAGGCAACAGGTAACACATAATGAATAAGCCAAAAAGTGCTTAATTTTGTTTTCTATGAAATAGTTTATTTTACTGTTTACTATGGAGGGGCTACAAATACATATCTGACAGGAACACCGAGGACTAACATTTGCAACACTGGTGAAAATGGATATGAAGACTTGAGAGTCTTCAGCACAGGGTGCACACCATTTACATTGCTCATCTCCCACCATACATCTGAAAACATCAAAGGCACTTATCAAAATGATTAAATAAAGGAGTGTGGAATTTAAAACAATGACATACCCCAGGCATAAGATCAAGTGCTTGAGTTTTCTTAGAGTTTGAGTTCTGACATTTGACTGATTTACGCAATTTACTTTATAGCCCTAAAATATTTAATAGACGGTCTGATTTCAAGACCTTTTCAAATGAAAAGAACCTAATGAAATAATGTAAAATCAAAATTTTTCTTTACCCATTATAAAAGAGCACTATGATCTCCTGGTAAAGGCAAAAGACCCACAGTTATGTCAGTCATGTCACCTCTGCAGGGAGGACCATGGGCGCTGACGCTTTACGAACGGGCACACCGGTGTGTCTGTGATTTCCTAGGCACACTCATCTAGCCAGGGGCACGGCACTAGGCTGGGTGCTGTGGGGACACAAGCACGATGTGATCTGTGTTTTCCCAAGCTTATGTTTATCCCCCTCAATTGAGTTGGTCATGCCTTCCCTTCAATTCCTACTGACCTGTTCCAAGCAGCTTCTTAAAACAGGAGCCAGAATAAAAAGATTGTGTCCCCTATGGTTCCATTTGTCTACAGTATGGGAAAAACAGTGGATGGATTGAGAAGTAGGGCACCTTCCAGCTCCTGACTCAGTATCTTCACACAGCCTTGTGGCAACTTCCTACACAAATATGAGTACTGCATTCTAAAACAAAAGTATATAAATGCTTTTGGACTGATTTATGTTCTAACTCCTCACTCACAGAAAAATAAAACTGACTTCAATGAGTCCAATCACATTTCCACATGAAAACACACAATCAGACTGAGAGCTGGTTTTCCTAGACTTAGGAATACTGACTCAATACAGTTAGCTTCTAATGGCACTCATTCTCAACATGAGAAAACAATTTCTAGCATATTTTTTAATCATAGTATGCATACACGTAAGTGTAGAGTGTGTGGATAAAAAGGCTGACAGGCCATCTAGCATGTTTAAGAGTGAACTGATAATGAGAAATTTCAATTTTTTCCTTCTCAGTTTGTACATGTATAATCATTTCCAGGATACCCACGTGTCATACAAAATTGAAAGATGCCCAATTCTGCTATAAAAAAATGCTGAAGTTATATTTTTTAATGCAGAGTGACTGCACATAAAGACTATATAGAAGCCACCCACAGGAGTGCTAACAGAAGGTATTTCTGAATTTGACGTGTACTATTACCCATCCTCCATCTTATAATGTTCCATTCTCAATACTGAACTTCTCTTTAGTCAAGAAATAAAAGTTTATAAAAACCTGAGGGTGATTTCCAGTGAGATTTATAAGGATAGAGGAGCAAAAAGACCACAGGTATTACTGGATCATATCTGTAGGAAAAGCTAATAATTAGCATTATCACAAACTACTGTAGGGCAACAGGTTTCAGTAGTTAAACATAAATCACAAGGGTCTGTTTCCAGCATTATAAAAGGGGTGACATGATTTCACTGGGGTATCAACTAGTATTTACAAAGCTACTTGGAATTTTTCTCTTGCTCTTCATTGTTGTTAAGTAATAAGAATTTTGATGATGGGGAAACTTCATTTTTTAAGTGTAGGATGATCTGAGCTGAATGAGAAAAAGAATGATTAAGGGAGGGAAGGAAGGCAGGCCTGGCATCAATTTGAACACATTTTTCTTTTTCCTAAGGCGTGTGTCTCCAAGGTTATGATAATAAAGTCATAAACATGTCAGTCACTTTAAGGGTCTTAGTACTAATGATGACTGAGAAGGATGAAATGATGAACTGAGCTACCACTAAACAGGCTACCACTAGTACAAATCCCTAAGAGTAACATATCCACCACCAGTATTCTCAGCAGCAATATATTTAAATACAAAGAGAACTACATATATATGATATTATCATATAAATATTTCCTTTTATTTTTTCATTGTTAAAATTTTTTTTAATTTTGTTTTTATTTCTTTAAAAGCATACTTTATTAAAGAAACACTGGAAATGTGGGTTCTTTTTGAGAAATAATCATCTTCACTGATAGATGATATGAAGAAACCAAATTTCTATACTAACCAATAGAAAATTAACCACTGGTGAGTCTAGTTCCAATCCCAAATGAAGGACACACAAAATAAACATGTTAGGACTGATTCTGTACACTCAGTTAAAACAGTTCCATTCCTGAACTATATTAGCTACTGAAATTCTAAAAATGCTCATTTTCCTGGGTATCCTCTTTTGTCAAAGGGTTTAGTATTTATTATATTATTTACAGTAACTGACATTTACAAAGGATGGAGAAACCAGAGAACACACTCCATAGTATGTAAGACCTTTACCTCTTTTTAAATGTTCTTAGTGGACTATAATGCTAAGCAAATATATTTAGACCTTCTTAACTTGCAGGTGTATTGAATATCTCTTAATCTGCTTTCTCCCTTCAAATGTCTTTTCATTCTAAAGAGAACATTTTTGTATCTTAGTACTACCTGTAGAATTAAAAAAAAAAAAAGATCCTATGTTTCATACACTTTGAATGAAAACAACCAAAGAAATAAACCCTATATGGACTATTTCTTTTTCCTATTTAAATACTGCTACTTTCTATTAACCCTATTTCAAATTTAGAGTTACATATACATTGTGAAGACGTCCATGTACACAAGTCTCTATAGAACCTCCAATTTTATTATAAAACTTCTTCACACACACTAGAGAACTGTATTTTCACTTTCACATGTTTAAACAACCCAAGAAGGTTGGCACATTTTAAAGTTAACACTTTTTATCATTACAAAAACAGACTGAGATTAATGGTGACCCTAGCATTTGGTTACTGACTGACTGACTAACTAGGCTCCTGACTTCTTATTATTACTGGCTAATTTCACATTTGATTTTATGTATAACCTGCATTTCCCAGGAGATAATCAGGGAATGCAAAAATCAAAAATCCTAAGCAGGTAATTTTGCTACTTTAAACATTTCTGGTAAAATAGCTAGTTGAAGTTAAAAGAGGAAAGCTACTAATAAACAGAAAATTAGGGGGACAAGTTACCTGTGGATTTCATTACTCACATTAGGACTGGTCCTCCTTATTGGAGGCTAACTGAAAACAGACTGGACCATGACTTTTAGCTGTATGTTCGGCATTTTCAAATACTCCAATGATGCTCTTCAATAATTTTATTACCTCCAATTTATGATGCCATACTATGCTTTTCACACTTTAAATTTCCCATTTCCATAATCCAAATGTCAAAAAATTACTACACATTCCCTTATACAATCAAAAATAGGTTTACTGGAATGTTTTCAGTTATAGCTGAAGGCAGCAACATTTACAACATTTAGCTTTTGTTACATCTATAAACATGTGAACACTGCTTGCAAAGCAATTGTTAATATGAAAAGAATCTTGCAAATATTGATGGAATGGTTATACACATCTTTCAGCATAATGATCTGGTACTCTGCAGAGGCTCCCTGACCACCAGCCTGATCCCTACCTCAATGCAATAAAGTCAAGTCCTTATGCCATTAAAATAACAGTATGAAATATCCTTATCAGTGTTTAACTATATATACAATAGTGAATTGGCAAGTATCTAGTTTCAAATTAGACCCTTGGAATATGGCAAAATCAAGGCTAGTTATCTTTGCCTCAAACATAATTATTAAAAGCAACATTTTGTTGGAAGGGAGGGAGATAATTGGACATTCTCAATGCTCCAATTTGAAGTGATACTTGCCTCTTAATTTCTTGAAAAAGAAGCTTTGAAAGTTATATACATGGGTTTCATTTAAATTATGCAGCAACCTTTTATTATTATTGTCCCAGTTTTGTTTAATGAAGATCTGTCGTCAAATCAAGTACGGTATTTCACAACTATAAGAACTGCAAGAGAAAAAAATGGAAAAGAAACATCAAAATCAGATTCATACGCTACTATGAGAAACAATATTCCTAAACATAGTTTCCATTGTGAAAAGAAGTAAGTAACAGGGACAATTTTTATATGAAATGATAGATAACACATGGGAATGGAGAAGCAAAAATGAGACAACCTAAATGTCTAATATTAGCATTTTGATCAAATAGATTAATACAAAAATCATAGTATAAAGAGGCTAAAACATTTAATAACATGGGAAAATATTTTGAAAGTATTTACTAGAAAGTATACATATGATTTTAGTTTTTGAAATCATGTTTATTAATAGGAAACTTGAAGTATATACAATAGTTATATTAATAGTAGCTACCTCTGTGTGCTAAGAGAATGGCTGGATTTTATTTTCTTCTTTATGCCATTCAACATACCACTGGTTGATTCTTGGTACTGGCAGTAGTTATGTTCTATAAAGTCACCACAAACACTGAAAGAGTGGATACTGAACCACTGTTCTGACGGCAAATAGAGGCTTAAATTCCTGCCAGCCTCTGTCTACAATGTTTCTGACAACCAGTCAGTACATAACCTTGTTTTATAAGTTTCTGGGTAGAGACACCTTACTTACTATACAGTGCTGACTCATTAGCCCTGAACTCATGGCCAGCAGGACTGTCACTTATGCCTGAATGAAGCTTATCTAACACACATATTTCCTCCACAAGGCACAGTACAGCCTTGTACTCAGCAACACTAGATGGCACCAGAGCACCAGTACCCCTGGGGGCATTTGAAACAGCAAAACCATTAACAAGATTGACAGAAATGTGAGTAGCGTGGCACTGAACAGACTCTGAAAGGCAGCTGTTTACTTCATGAGGTGGGACTGAGGCAGAGCATGACATTAGACATCAGCTGGGAATATGCACATCAAGAAATCCAAGGTTTTCACCTTTCTGACTGCAACTGCCAATGACTCCAAAAGCACTGGGGTAAATGATCAATGCTAACTAGTAGATGAATTCACAAACACAGAATCCACAAATTATGAGGACTGACTGTCTTTGAAACAAAACTTTTTTTTTTTCTGTTTAAAAGTAGTATCACCATGGAATTTTTCAAATGGTTATTCTGAGATATTTTCCAGATCTTTATAAAATCCCTGTAAACACAGAGCAAGAATCTTGGGGGAAAAGGAGATATTAAAAATGATCTAACCAGAAAAGGACAAATATATGATGTAACTTATATGTGGAATCTAAAAAGTAATACAAAAGAATCTACATACAAGACAGAACCAGACTTACAGTCATAGAAAACAAACTTCTGGTTATCAAAGGGGGAAGAGGGGGAAAGGATAGATTAGGAAGTGAGAGTAATAGATAGAAACTACTAAAAACAGATAAGCAACAAGGACCTACTACACAGCATAGGGAACTATGTTTAATATCTTTTAATAACCTACAGTGGAAAATAATCTGAAAAAATATAAAACTGAATCACTTTGTCATACACCCGAAATTAACACAACAATGTAAACCAACTATACTAAAAAAAATTTTTTTTAATGATCTGACTTTAAAAAGGATATTAAGGGGGTAAAAAGGGAGGGCAAGAGTTATGCTTCAATGATGGAAATGAAGCTCAAATCCAAAACAAAAATTATCATCTAGAGAATTTATCTGGATTTTCTTTAAACACAGTATTATGAAATGAAGCTGACATACCTAAAAGTTAATAATAAATAGAAAATGAGTGTTACGGTCTTGAGTGTAACAGTAGCCATACATGGCCTCAAACAAATCATGCAGCCCTGTCATTTCTGTTGCGAATCTGATGAAAGATAAAGACTCTCACTATAAAAACATACATATGCATACTCATGTAAAATTTTATATACAATTTATATGCATTTTCAGAGTTACAGATTCTAGGTTAAGAGCTCCTGTCTGGGGCCATAAATCATTACTCAACCCTGACATCAATCATACTAGGTCAACTGAAAATAAAAAGGAAATTTTTTAAAACTTCAAATGATACTCCTCCAAATTAATAATCTGGTAAATACTTACTGATAATCACTAACAAAAGGATAACAGCAACCAAAGCCATGATAGCTTTTATCTACAACACACAAAAAACAGAAAAGATTAATGTTTCACTTCTTAATAAAGAGTATCTGTCATTCTATTTACCACATTACACTAACTCGTCAACAATCTCCTTCTAAGAAATGTTTCCAAATTTTTTTTCATATAAACTTGATTATTTGCATCTTTCTGTAATAATCAGAGTTCCCCAAATTTGAGGGGTTATGCTTGTGTAGATTTTACTGTTCAAGGCTACAGAGTAAACAGTAATAATTAAAAGTCTTCATGGGCCTGGTCTTTTTGTCTCTGATTTCACACATATCTCTAATGTAAGGCTAGGAAAAGAACAATCTTTTAGCAACTCTGTCCAAAAATGTCAGGATATTATAAATACCATTGGCGCCCAATACAGATGGTTCAATATACATAGTATAAAGCAGCATTTCTTATAGAAATTATTCTCAAAGTATTAATATATTGGAATTCTGTTAGTTTGTGCTCCCCTTGTTTTCTTAGCATTTTTATCTCCATTTTGAGGAATATAATTTAAACTTTTCATGAATAAACCTCATTTAATAAATAACTTGCCTAAGAGCATTCTGTGTGTCAGTTTCACAGATAGGAGAAATCTTAAGATTAAATCCTTAGCTACTTAATATTTGAGGTCCACATCATCTCTCTCTATAAAATTGTCACATTCCTCATCTAATCCTACAATGCATAAATTATAAATTGATTAGATTTGAATTCAAACAAAAGTGTTGTTATCATCATCAATTTTCACAGATAATTGATTAAAGATGGTTCATTCAGAAAAAAGGTACCGAGTTGTTATAAACACATGAAACATTCCGGTGGATATCACAGATAGCAACTAGAAGTACCTAATGAAATGTTTCTAAGATAAAAATATGGCTGACATTTTAGTGGCATTATATTCATGACAAGAACAAAGTGACCAAGACAATACACGGAAGCTTTGCAATTTGAATAGCAGGGACCTATCATATGATAACCAAAAAATGTAGACACAGACTCAGATCAGTTGAATACAGGTACATTTTCAATAGGTGTCTGGGTCCACATTACACTATAAAGTACTTTAGTGACAAAAGTGATCCAGAGAATATATGGAAGCTTTGCATTTTTTTTAAACCTAAAAATACTTCTAAAGTAACTTGGAATTTTACAGTAGCTTTTCAAATTTACCAAAAATACATATTAATTTGCCCTATTAATTTGTGCTAGGCTTAACATTTAGAAGATTTAAATGGGAATATTAATAACAATTTAAAAACACCTAAATAAACAGTTTCTAACACTGGCCAGGAAATGTTTACAACCAAAAATGGCGGTATTCACGTGTGCCCAAAGTGCACTTCTTCCAAACGACATGGACAAAAATCTGTTTCTCATTAAACATGTTTACTTATTTATGTTAAAAGTCAGGTTTATTGAGAGATACTTTACATACAATAAAACTCACCCTTTTAAAGTTCATTTTGATGCATTTTGACATCTAGTTGTCAACCATCACCATCTCAGTTGAATGTAAGACACTTATCACTCAGAAAGTGCCCTCATACCCTGCTGTAGTCAATCTCTACTCCTTGACCCTTAGCCAGTGGCAACCTCTAATCTCTTTTCCATTTCTATAGCCCTTTACTTCATCCTTCCTAAATAATAATTATGAAGTTAAAGCAGAAAATGGCAGTGATGTAGAGACTATTGAAAATATAAATTAAAAATATACTCTAATTTTTCCACTTAAAAGCATGCTATTTCTTTGATCTGGACCCCATAAAGTACAAAATGAACATCTTTAGCTATGGTTAAAAGAAGTTACACAAGATATACATTATCATTTTGTTAATGGCCACGTGAATGAGTCATGTGTATATATGGGGAGAGGAGGTTAATGGCTCGTCGACCTTTTGTTCCACCAAACTAATTTCCAGAACAGAACATTTGTATAGAAATTGAAAATTTACTCATTAAAAAAACCTAGAAAATTTAAATTCTGGACAAGAGGAGCAATGAAACTTGTATCTTCCCCTAAGTTCTATTTCTGAAAATAAGAGGATTCAACAGGTACACAGACAAAAAGAAGTTAATCTACGGAAACTCTTAGAAGAAGTCCTTAGCATGTGTCAACATCATGTTTTCAAAGTTATTCCTAAACTGGAAAATGAGAGACTTTAAAATGATACAAACTATCAGGAGGAAAAAGATGAGATGTGCTCATATGACATGAAATTTTCTAAAAAATCTTAAGAGAAACATTTTTCTGCTTGATAAGCAGTAGCCATACTTGATTTAAGAAGTAAATTCATTTCTATTAAATGTTTTGCAGGAATATATCAGCATATAATGATTCCTAATTTTTTCCTTGTTAAAATGTTTTACTTCTTATTCCTCTTATCCAAGTACTAACCAGGCCTGACCTTGCCAAGCTTCTGAGATCAGGCAGATGGGTTCAGGGTAGTATGGCAAAAGACTTTCTAGAATAATGAGGGACAGTGGGATTTTTTTAAGCCCCCCCATTTGCCATATGAATTCTGACACATTCAACTGCTTTTATTTTTTTCCTCCTTTCCAACAGAAAATTTTATTTTTCTCTAGCTTGCATTCTATCTTTTAAACATCTGTATGTAATGGTATAGGTTGCTCCAAAAAGGTACTAATAATAAATTATAAGTTAATATTTCTTATAAGTCTAGAGGAAGCTAAATTATTAATAAAATGTGGGTTACTCTCTATGAAGAAACCCATGAAAACAACCTTTCAGGCACTGCTTGATTCCTTTAGTTATTTCTAACCCAAAAGATAATTAATTCGACAATATTCAGAGTTCCACCATGTCTCAGGCTCAGAATATATAATGATGAATGAGCAAGAGAGTTGTAGCCCCTGTCCTTACAGAGTTTATAATCTAGAGGCCCTTTTTCCTTCATGTCTTTGACCACCACTGGATATGCTGATCAACCTATCCAACATCGTCTGATTTACTTACTTTGCATCCACGCCACCACATTTGCCTTCGAAGTTGTTTGGATCTGTTGCTAAAAGCAGTTGCATTATCCGATAAGCTTTCTATATCACATAGAGGATGGAGAGAAGGATTAAACGACATAACAGGATTCTTTTATCTAGTCACACAAAGACAAGAAAATATTAATTTCTACTTCTGCAAATGTATTCCCCTTTAAGCATGAAAACAACATCTTTCCTTTCCTCCACCCACAAATTCTGGCATTCTGTATTCTTAAAAGGAAAAAGTGGCTGCACGTCAGTTTGCTCAAGCCACTTTTATGATAAGAGTAAAATAAGTCTTCTAGGGCTTCAGTGCTTTCAATAAACTTATGAATTCTGTTAGAAAAATACTCCTTAAAAACTCGAATACTTGGCACAACTATAGAAAAAATCTACAAGTGGAGAAGTCTAAATTCTTAGATTATATCAAAAGCGATTCTGAAGCAAAACTACGAATTTTAAAAGTGGTTAAATAATTTTTTTTTGTTAAATAAGTCTGTCAAGGATTAATCAGACAGTCATTCAGCCACTCATCATTTAAACAATGTGTGAGTACCTAATAAGTGCCAGGAACTATTATAAGAACAGAGACTAACATCTGTCAGTAAAGAAAGGTTACTAAGTCACCAGACAAAGCATGAGATAAAAACACTGGATAAATTTGAAATAAGTTTGAATAGAAGTGATTAGACCTATTTTCCATGAGATCAGGAGAGATACAAAGTACATCAACATAACAGGACAAAAGAAAAAATACTCTAATTCTTTTCAACAATGAATTTTTAATTTTTTCATTCTCAACCGATCAATTAAAGCAATAATATAACAATAAGATGTTTCAAAGTAAAGGGAGCTAATATATACAACTTAACAATGAAGTTTCAAACAACCCAGTTGAAAAAAGGGACAGAAGACCTAAGTAGAAATCTGACTTGTGGTTGCCTAGGGTGGGCAGTGGGTGGGAGGCAGTGGGAAAGGATAGATTGGGAGTTTTAGGATTAGCAGATGCAAAACATTATATATAAGATGAATAAACAACAAGGTCCTAGTGTGTAGCACAGGGAACTATAATCAATATCCTGGAATAAACCATAATGGAAAAGAATATGAAAAAGTATATATATGTGTATATATATAAATGCTATACAGTAGAAATTAACACATAAATCAACTATACTTGAATAAAATATTTTTTTTAAGTAAAGGAAGCTAAAGTTAAAACATTAAAACCATAAATACCATTTTTCCTAAGACAAGATTTCTAAACTTTGGCTAGAAAAATGGGAGAAGTACACTATCAAAATACAGATTAAGAATTTCAAGAAATATATGAGGTATCTGTACCTGATTTGTCCTGTAGTTCATCTAGTCTCTCCCCTCTTTCTATTACCTTTGTAATATTTTCTTGCATGACATCAATGACTTCATCCACCTGATTCTGAACACTAGTTTAAAAAAAAAGATTAAAAAATAATGTATTCTTGAGAATTTTACAATTGTTGAAAATTTCATTAGACACTATAGAAAACAACAAGTTCTCATAATCATTCAAGTCTAAAGTTTTTAAGTTTAAGGCTTATAGCAACATTCCTTCCATTTGTGGGCTTGAGTACTCAGGAAATTAAAAGACAACATAATATAAATAAAAGTAATATTTAACTTAAAGATAGTTTATTCTTAGTCCTGTTTCTACAAATTAAACGCACTGTCAGAAAGCTCAGTAACTGCCTATTTGGTTCTTTTTGTAGCCCCAGTACCTGTTACACTGCTTGGGACAGAGTATGCACTTAAGAGTTATCAGTTCAATAAGTGAACAATTTGGGTATAAGTCCTGCCAAGCACATCCAGCTACTTGAGAAAGAGATAAGGCAGTGGATGTAGAGATCTGCATTTAACTATAATGGAAGCAGAGCTACTGTTCATCAAGGACCAATCTTGAAATTTCTAGGTAGTTATCTTCCATCAGGTGCAAGAGACAATACCCTAAATAAGGCGCAGCAGGGTGGAAGTGGACAAAATGTATGGCAGCTCCTACACATGATCAGATTATAGCTATTCTTTATATCAATATACCTATACTACATGTGATTTTAAAACAAAACCAACGTAACTGAAGGAATCATTATGATCCCAGAATCCCTATAAGCAAAAGACTCCATGGATATAGACAGATTAATTGGAATAGAACTCATAAAATTCCAGATTAATTCTTACTAGATGATCATAAACCTAGGGGTATTACCTCAACAGTATGACATACATGTAATCTCTATGGCTAATGGAAACTACCCAACATTTTAATTTTTCTATCAAGTGACAAATTACTGTTATGTTCTCCTTCAGATAATACTATGCACTGGTATAACCTTCTTAACCCAGCTACTGTATAACTCTCATCCAATACATTCAATACAATACACATTCAATTAGGATAATGGAAAATCTCATGACTGTGCTTCTATGTTTCAAGATATTTTCAGGCCCAGAACACAACTTTTATAGAAAAAACTTATATACTTATTTACTTTAATGGAAAGGATTAAAAAAAAAAGTAAAAACATATTTCCCCATGATCTTTTACATTTCATAGCAATTACAGTACTTTGATTTCTATTTGTATTTTATGTTGGTTTTATCTTCAGTATTATACCATAAATGCAGTAAAAACAGAAATTGTCACACCCACTCATCTGTTTCCCAGGTCATGAGAAATGTGCATTCAACAAATATTTTCTGATCTGAATTATGAATTTCATTTATTCAAAACTACTTACTAAGGAGTTATTATTATGCTGTTCACTGTGGACACCCATGTGAATGTTTTGAGCCTGATCCTCAGCAAGATCACAGTCTAGTGGGGAACACTGGTAGCTAGGATTATACTACCATATAATAGCACTATTAAGTGCTATAATAGAAGGAAGTCCATGGTATCTGTCATGCAGCCTAGATCAATCCAGCCTGGACCAGAGATGCCATCAATATCCTGGTGCTAAGTTTTAAGGGGTTAAGAGTAAACTGGCCATAGTTTAAAAAAGAAAAAGGTGATGGATGGTGGGAAATTTCTAGGCTAAAGGAATAAGAGGAGGGAATATTTCAGGAACTGGATATGAGTGAAGGAGTTAGGGCAAGAAAAGGGTAGAGAACTTCTAGATTTATAAACTGAACAACTGAGTAGATATAGATGATGGTCATTAACTGGAAAATAAAACTAAGGACTCAAGGGAAAAGCAAGTTTTTGAAGGAAGGGGTGGAGATTTATCTCATTTCCAGTTAAAGAGTCATGCGGTAGAAGAAAGGACACAAGAGAGAACCTACCCTGGAAAATATAAAGGTACACAGAGAGAAGACATTTCAATGTTGTTTTTAACCTCCTTAGAGTCTGACAGCACTTGAGCTCCTGAAATGTCTCTAATTATCACCACTATAGGGAAGCTGCATGGTGTAGTGTAGAAAGCCCAGGCTCTGGATGCAGAAAGATCTGGGTTTGTAATTCAGTGTCATCACTTACTATGTATGTGGCTTTGCAAGCCTCTTTGAACCTCGTATTTTCTCACCTTTAAATACAATATTGTAAAGTAAAATTTAAAAAAATAAAATGAAGATGATAGTCTTTCCCTTATGAGAATTATATGTGACAGAACACTTAGCATGGTTCCTAATGTTTAGTGTGTGTTTAATGTCAGTGTTCTTCCATTAAGAAAACAAAAAAGTTCATGCTCTGCTACACACACTCATACCTTATTTTATAAAGCAAATATTTATTTGCATAGTTAACACCCCATCTTGTGGTCTCTTAAGGTACTGTTGACAAAAGAAGTTTAAAAGGTATGTTGTATTTTTGCAGTTTTATATTTTTGCTGTTCATCATGGAACATTCCTTGCTGCTGCTGCTAAATCACCTCTGTCGTGTCCAACTCTGTGTGACCCCATAGATGGCAGCCCACCAGGCACCCAGTCCCTGGGATTCTCCAGGCAAGAATACTGGAATAGGTTGCCATTTCCTTCTCCAATGCATGAAAGTGAAAAATGAAAGTGAAGTCGCTCAGTCGTGTCTGACTCTCAGTGACCCCATGGACTGCAGCCTACCAGGCTCCTCCATCCATGGGATTTTCCAGGCAAGAGTACTGGAGTGGGGTGCCATTGCCTTCTCTGAACATTCCTTGGGGACCTTATAAAATTAAAACTGTTTAGATCAAGGCTATATATAGTTAGGAGACTTCCTACCCATGGAAGAGAATGTCGACAATTCACTAGAGTGGCATTTAGAATGCTATTATTTAATTTAAAAGCAAAGGAAACATTCTAAAGAGAATCATAAATTTTTATATAGGCATGTGAATATGTAAGATCTTTCCCAAAAATCTTCTCTAAAAAGTGACACTGGAATACTAACAAACCCATTAAAAGGACCTACTCTATAGCATAAAGAACTCTATGCAATATCTTATAATAATTTATAGTGGAAAAGAATATGATAAAGAATATATATACTTTTTCAGATCATTTACATATATATATAACTGAATCACTCTGCTGTACACTGTAAAACAACTAAACTTCAATAAAGGAAGAAAAGGGACACTGGGCATTTTTTGTGGAATTAATGTTATCAGTATGTCAGTCAAATTTGAACAAAGCAACAATGCTGCTGATCCACACCTTGTATGGAAATGTTACTTATTAAGTGGTAATAACACACCTTAAAGAAACTCACCAGTGCTAGCAATTTTAGTTACTATTCATAAACAAATGCCAGGTATCTGTCCTTGGGCAAGTGGTGTGGCATGTTATGCTCCATGATTTTGGGCCATTTCGGACACACGTTTGAGTCATGCCCTGGTTAGATAAGTACTCATGGGGTTGTGCCAATAAGGTTTCAATTGTGTGTTTTGATGACTGATCACCTTCTAAGTAAATCTGATAAGCCTTCAGCTCTAGAAAAAGAACTCAACTGTCCCTTACTGTTCTAAAATTCTGTGATCAAAGTTATGGTGATAATTTACTATGCACATATCCATATTCACATGTATGTGTGCTTGGCACTTACTAATACAGACACAGTCTGCAATGCCCAGTATGTACAACCAACACTGGTTTAGGAGTTCAGCCAGAAAGTCATACTGAGATTTACTGGGCCATACTCAGTACCAGGCTCAGTCTGGGGAAAGATGTCAGACAGGAAATGAAGCATATTGGCAGGGAAAAAACAGATGTGTCACCAGTGGAGCCCTCTTCTCCAACGGCAGGTGAGGTATACATGTGGGTGGACAGAGAAGTCACCCTGGCTCAAAGAAGGAAAACCTCTCTGCCATGGCATCCTCGCAACCTTGAATGTGTTGTGGTACTTCCGGAACATGAGAGGGTGAGTGACTTGTGAGGCCATCTCTTACTCACCTCTCCACCTCCCTCTGGAGACTGTCATGAGACAGTCTGATGACACATGAAGCTTTCTGCAGGATATATCTGCAGACTATAAACACCTATAAACCTGGGCTGGAACTGGCTCCTTTGTAACAGGGTATCTCACAGCTCAGACTGCAGCCTCCTATAATCATTTTTGGTGATTAGGACAAGAACCCAGGGAACTGGCACCTTTGGCTACTCTTCCTTTGACAACCTATGTGAGTAATAAACTGTCTGGATCTAAGTGGCTCACTGTATCCTGACTGTTGAAACGGACCCTTGAAGCAGCAGAGACTCTCTTCTGCTGGCCTCGAAGGAGCAAGCACTGTGGGTTCTACAGCTGCAAGGAAGTGAACCCTATCAACAACTACCTGCACTTGGTCAGGAGCTTCAGACGAGATCAAAGCCCGGGCGACACCCTGATTTCAGCCTTGTGAGACCCTGCACAGAGGGCCCAGCTAAGCAGTGACTGAACCCCTGACCCATGGAAAATGTGGGTTGACGAATGTGTGTTGTTTCAGGCTGCTAGGTTCAGGGTAACTTGTTATGCAGCAAGAAAAAATGAAAACATCCCATTTAGTATACCAATTTGTTGCTACCGTGATTCTGTATTTCAGAATCCATTAACTAGGATTTGGCTAAGTGTGGGCCTATTTCTTCATTCCAATGGCTCTGTGACTAAAACCCAAGTATCTCATCAATAACTTGACACCATATTATAGCACCCTTCTCACTATGTGCCATCTACATCCAGACTTAGGGGAGCAACTACCCTTCCTCAGATCTTAAGCCTGGGCCATTCGGTTTATCTTCCAGTTTATTTTTTATAGGTGGGTAATTTTCCAGGGCTGTTTCACTTCTCCAGTTGCTCCTGCTTCCTTTTTGTCTGGATTCATATACTTCTTACATTAAATACATTCACTATAGCATTACCCACCATCTACCACCAATAATATATACAGAAAAGCTTTAAACTGAAAATTAAGGAGCCATAAAACTTAGATCAGGGCTCCCCTGGTGTCTTAGTGGTAAAGAATTCACCTGCCAATGCAGGAGACATGGGTTCTATCCCTGATCTGGGAAGATCCCACAGGCCTCAGAGCAACTCAGCCCATGCACCTCGAGAGAAGCCACATGATGCGAAACCTGCACATCAAACTAGAGTGGCCCCTGCTCACCACAACTAGAGAAAAGGCCACAGAGCAACAAAGACCCAGCACAGACAAAAATAAATAATAAAATTATTAGAAAAACCTTAGATCAATAAATGGATTAGGATAAGTCATAGAAATGAATAAATTCTGGAAGTATACAAAAAAGATACCGTACTTCAGAAAACTAAATCTATTATGTTGCTTTTATTATCATGCTGAAAATGGGAATCATGTTATAGATTTAAAACCAAAATAGACCTTGAGATTATGCTAAATAAATGAATTTGATATATAGAAATAAAAATCAACAACCAGGAACTGCATTTCCTTAGCTCTAATTAAGAGGTAGCTCTGTGTAAATAAAAAGAATGACTGGGTTTTTACAACCTAGAATATTAGTTTACATCAAGGCTCATCAAATTTTTTCTGTAAAAGATAAGACAGAATCGTTTTTAGATTTTGTGGATCATAAAGTCTCTTGTCACTACTACTGAAATCTGTCATTATAGTCTGAAAGCAACTAAGATAACAGGAATGGCTGTTTCAATAAAACTTTATAAAAACTAGATTTGGCCCATAGGTTGTAGTCTGCCAACCCCTGGTCCAGGTACAAATATGATAATCTTTTAAACAAATAAGTATCTCAAAACTTACTGCTTAATTTTATCATTTCTGGGTCCAAATCTTGGTCCAGATGGTCCTCTTCTGAAAAAAAAACAAAAAACACCAAATACAATTAATAAGGAGAGCATTAAAACAGACACCAAAGCAGAAAATACACACACACACATTGAATTCTAAACATGGATCATTCATCATAAGGAACCAGATTTTACTAGTATTGATAGAACTTAATGATACATAATCATGTCTGTACTTCACTGGTACTTAGTACAGGCTGTCACAACCCAATTCTTCTGAATGTTATCAGTTTCAATATAATTCTTAGTTACCACAGATATTCTAATCATTAAACTTTGAAATACCACAACAACCAAAGTGCTAGAGATTATGAATAACTTTATGATCAATTATAAAATCTGCCTGCAATGCAGGAGACCCCGGTTCCATTCTTGGGTCAGCAAGAGCCCCTGGAGAAGGGATAGGCTATCCACTCCAGGATTCCTGGGCTTCCCTGGTGACTCAGGGAATCCACCTGGAATGCAGAGACCTGGGTTTTATTCCTGGGTGGGGAGGATCCCCTGGAGGAGGGCATGGCAACCCACTCCAGTATTCTTGCCTGGAGAATCCCATGGACAGAGGAGCCTGGTGGACTACAGTCCATAAGGTTGCAGAGAGTTGGACACGACTGAGCGACTAAGCACACAGACCACTCTAAGTCCAGTTACCTTGAATTTAGGCTCTAATGAAATGTTAACTTTCGGGGATGAATATAGAGAAAAATCCATTCAAAACACTAAGTTTTTTAAAGTATGTTTTTTGATTACTCATCTTAAACTTAGCAATATAACTAAAGGGAAATGTAGGAGTCTATGAAAATATTAACATTTCTCAAATTATCTCTCCATTATAGTCAAGTGTTGTGTCATTTAAACCAATTCATTTTAATACGCTGGAAATAAAAATTGGGGGATATTTTAAGTACTTTTCCTTCTTCCGATGATAGAAAATAAGGTATAAACCACAAAACTCAAAGAATAGATTCTGACCAATTAAACATTACCATTTTCTTCTACTCCCAGTCCTTGGCAACCTCCATCCTACTTTGTATCTCTATGAATCTGACTACTGTAGGTGTCTCAGATAAGAAGAATCATGTGAGATGTATCCTTTATGACCAGCTTCTTTCACTTAGCATAACGTCTTCAAGGTTCATTCATTTGCAGTGTGTTTCAGAATTTCCTTTTTAAGACTGAGTACTATTCCATTGTATGTGCATACCATATTTTATCCATCTATCCATTGACAGACACTTGGGTTACTTATACCTTTTCGCAATTATGAATAATCCTGCTATGAAAGTAGTGTTGAATAATCTTTAAAAATTATTTCGGGATGTTACTTGCTTTGTTTCCCTTTCAGTACACAGACAGAACCACCATGTATGGGAGCTGATTTTGAACAAGTGTGCCGGTTTTGTCATCAGGCCCTTTGGAAGTTGTACAGCATTATTTGGGAGTAAACCTCCAGTGTACAGAGCTGGCCTGAAAAGTCTGTTTCTTGCTTACATTCAGGTAACCACTTATTTGGCCAAAGCATCTGACCTTCTTTTCAATAATGAGTCCTTTGTTCACAGGTAGCTATTGCTGCAGTCTAAGGATTCTCACTGAAATTGGCACTGTTAGCAATTATCTTTGTGACTCTGGAAGTTTTGTTACCTATAGGAAATATTCTTCCCACTTCATCTGACCTTCCTGCCAGAAATGATACCATCTCCTCTTAATGGACTGGCTTTCCCTCCTGTAGGCTCTGTTTGTGATTGCCTCATGGCTGACAACTACTTTTATAAAGTGTTTTTTATTTGGGGGGGGGAAGTCTTTACAAAAACAACATTATAGCAGAGGGAGGTAAATGCTTCCTCCCAGGCTTACCCTGCTACATCAACCTTCAGAGAAAACTCCTGCAACAATATGTCATCCTTCCTGTCTTTGCAATTAAAACTGAGGCCCTTTCTAATTATAACTGCAAAGGATGGCTCAAGTTAATTAATTCTGACAGAGCATCAGGGCAATTCAGTGGGGACAAGATAATCTTTTCATCAAATAGTGGTGGCACAAATAGCCATATGCCCCCTGGCCCCTCCTAAAATTATCCTTCACTTTTACCTCAATTCCATATATAAAAAATCAATGTACAACAGATTATAGACCTAAATGTAAAAGCCAAAATGTTAAAACTTCTAGAAGAAATCAGAGAAGAAAATCTTAGAATCTTTGGGTTTGGCAAAGATTTCTTAAATAAGCAAAAACAATAAAAGAAAAAATTTAATAAACTGATTAAAACTCTGCTCTTCAAAAGATAGTTATGAAAATGAAAAGATTAAATTACAGACTAGGGGTAAATGTTTGTAAAAATATTTATCTGATAAAGAACTTGTAAAACATATTAAGAAAAAAAACTCCTACAACTTAATAAGACAAACTCAGAATTGGGCAAAGGATTTTAACATATACATCATGCAAGAAAACATGAAAACCGTAAATACGCACAAAAGAAGTTGTTTAGTATAATATGCAGTTAGGAAAATGCAAATAAAAACCATAATGGGATACCACTATATACCAACAAGAGTGGCTAAAATTAAAAGACTGACTATACACAGTGGCGATGAGGATTTGGAACAACCAGAACTCCCATACAATGCTGGTGGGAACATAAAGTGGTACACACTACTTTGGGAAACAGCTGTAAACATATACTAGCCATTTAAACATAAATTTTATGTTATGTATGTTAAGTAAACATACTTACCATCCTAAGTATTTACCCAAGAGAAATGAAAGCATAAGTCCACACAAAACCTGTATACAAATGTTTACAGCAGTTTTATTTATAATAGCTAAAAACTAGAAACACCCCAAATATCCATCAATAATTGAATGGGTAAGGGTTCATATAATGGACAACTACCCAAAAATAAACAGAGACAAACTATTGATACATGGGACAGCATGGGTGAAACTACTAATTCATGTGACTGCAAGGGTAAATCTCAAAATAATTATACAGAGTGAATGAAGCCAGTAAAAAAAAAAAAAAGGCATACTGTATGATTCCACTTATCAAAAAAATCTAGACAATACAAACTACAGTGATAGAAAGCAGACCAGTGGCTGCCCGTGGACTGGAAAAGTGACAGATTACCAAGAGATTTGATGAAACTTTTGAGGTGATGGCAATGTTCATTATTTGATTTTTCTGATGATTTCACAGGCATACAGTGTCAAAATGCATACTGTACCGTTTATATGTATTTTACTGTATGTCAGTTACACCTCAATAAAGATGTAAATCAAACAAAAATAACTTACAGAAAAAAGTCCTCTTCTTCGTCTGAATCATCTTCTAAAAGATTTCTCTGCCAAAAAAAGAAAAAGACGAGTTTTCAGATTCCCAGGGGCTTACAAATTGTCAGGGACGGAGCAATGAAACAATTTCTATCCTGGTGAAATTTCTTAACTCCACGCTTCCAGACAGAGGGAAGGGTAATCACATGTGCTTCACCAGAAGCTAAAAGATAGGAAACCGCAGGGCAGGCTTTCTAAGAAAATGCTTGTGACACAGAATCCTCTGACTGACCCCAAGGTAGAGAGAGGTCACTGAAGCTGGTGTGGGAGTAAGGAACGCAGGCAATCAGGAAGGAGCAAGTCCTTTCTCCTCCCTCTGCCTTCCAGTATCTATCTATCTACAGAACCTAAGAAGGAGTCAGGCGGCAAAGGAGAAATGTACTGCAGCTGCAGAGTCCAACTTCAGCAGCAGAGAGAGGAGTATATACAGTAGGTTCTGAAGCTCAGAGACAAGGCATAACAATTGGCACCTAACAGTGACTCAGCCCATGAACAGCCCTCTACACATATTTGAACTTCCAAACAAAACCAACTTTATACTTTTACCTTATAAGATACAACAATTTTTCTTAAAATGAGGAACGTCTCACCTTCTCCCCCAAAAGCAAAGATATGAAGTTCCAAAAGGAGGCTAAAGAAGAGCAAAAACGAAATCTTTTCAGCATACAAGACCTCCAACAGTATATACTTTGTAGGGAGAATAGTACCTCCCCACAGATGTCGACGTGCTAATCACGGAAACCTTGACTATGTTCCCTTGCATGGTAAAAGGGACTTTGCAGAAGCAATAAACCAAGGAGCCTGAGGTGGGAAGGTCAATATGGATTAATCATGTGAGGCCAGTCATCAGAGAGTTCTTATTTTTTTTTTTTTTTTCATTTATTTTTATTAGTTGGAGGCTAACATTTCAATGGGTTTTGTCATACATTGACATGAATCAGCCATGGAGTTACATGTATTCCCCACCCCGATCCCTCCTCCCACCTCCCTCTCCACCCAAAAAGAGAGAGGCAGGGACTTCCCTGGTGGCTCAGTGGTAAAGAATCCACTGGCCAATGCAGGAGCCAAGGACTCGATCCCTGCCTGGTCTGGGAGGATTCCACACGCCCCTGAGCAACTAAGCCCGAGTGTCACAATTACTGAACCCACGCTCTAGAGCCCATGAGCACCAACTACTGAGCCCGCAGGCTGCAGCCACTGAGGCCCATGCGTTCCAGAGCCTGTGCTCCTCAAAAAGAGAAGTCCCCACTTGCTGCAACTAGAGAAAGCTCACATGCAGCAACAAAGACTCAGCACAGCTAAAAACAAATAAATAGATAAAAGTAAACAAACAAGCTTAAAAAAAGACAGGGAGGCAGAAGTGAAAGAGAGGCAGGGGACACTGGAAGATGTTACACAGCTGGATTTAAAGATATAGGAAGGGGCATGAACCACACAGGGCAGGCAGCCTCTAAAAGCTGGGAAAAGCAAGAAAACAGCCTCTTTCCTAGTCTCCTGAAGGAACACGGTCCTGTCAGTGCCTTGATTGTAGCCCAGTAAGATCCACTTTGGACTTCTGGTCACTAGAACTATAAGATAATAAGTTTGTGTTGTTTTAAATTTGTGGCAATTTGTTACAGCAGCCATAGGAAGCAAATACACCACCCATGTACCTTTTCTGAGAAAATTACCCAAGGAATTACACTGGCTAAGAAGAAAATGCTATCAGAACAAAGATCTTAAGATGGAGATTGATATACTCAGTATGTCTAATAAAATGTGTGGTCAAATCTAAAGGGAAGATGATAATGTGATCGTGAACTATAATGCACAGCTATTGAAAAAGAAGACATGTAATATAAAGAAAAACTTTAAAAGAATCTCAAACTTCTCTAACAAAACCCAAAAGCAGGAAGAGGAGAGTAAAGTGGGGAAGTAACAGCAAAGTGACATGCTCATCTTGGTGGGGAGAGAAGTGGAGGAAGGAGGAAGAGGCCTAGAATGAAAAGTAGTCCAGAGGGGCATAGTTCTCAGCATGTTGACAGAAAACACAAATTTAAACATTATTGCTAACACGTACAGGTTTCCCATGTGGTGCTATTGGTAAAGAGCCTGCCTGCCAATACAGGAGAGATGGGTTCAATCCCTGGGATGGAAGATCCCCTAGAGAAGGAAATGGCAACCCACTCTTGCCTGGAAAATTCCATGGACAGAGGAGCCTGGTGGGCTACAATCCATGGGGTTGCAAAGAGTTGGATACAACTGAAGCAACTTAGTATGCACACATGTTAACATGTAAAGTTAGTAAAAGAGAGAGAAGGAAAAGGGGAGGAAGGGAACTGTCTAGTGGTCGGGCGGGTAGGGGAAAAGTAAGGAAAAATAATCAGCTTAGCAAAAGAAGTTAGGGAAACTTGGGAAAACCTAAGAAATATAATGAAGGGACTTCCCTGGTGGTCCAGTGGTTAAGAATCTGCCTGCCAATGCAGGGGACGCAGGTTCGATCTTTGGTCTAAGTTAGATCCCACATGCCATGGGGCAACTAAGTCCACGAAAATCAAGGAGAAGCCCTTGCTTCTTGAAGAGAAAGCCCGTGTGCCGCAACAAAGGGACCATGAACTTTAACAAAGACCCAGTACAGCCAAAAAATAAATGAATAAAAATAATATCACGAATATCATTATCTCTATATATTATTATAAATAATACACAAAGACCAAGAAAAATGAAAAGAGGATTGCTCAATATTCATTTAACAAATATGTTTGAGCATCTTCTGTGTACCAGGCACTGTTCTAAGGACCAAGCACCAGCTTTGAACAAGACAGACAAGGTCTGAGCTCTTATAGAAAAACATCTGATGGTGATAAAAGTTATGCAGAGAATTAAAATAGTGATGGGATAAAAAGTGACAGGGTGACTAAATGAGATTAGGCTGTCAAGGAAAATCATTCTCAAAAGGTGAAATTTAGGCTGAGATCCAAACAATATCAAAGAGCCAATCAGAGATTAAGGTGAAGAGCATTCACTGCCAGCAGAGGGACCAGCTAGTGCAGAAAATGTCCAAATAAATTAGTTTTCACAATAAATATGAACGGCCTGAAGGCTCCTATTAAAGGTAAAAACTGTATGTGAAGTTCAAACAAATTCCAGCTAGTATCTGTTTATAAGAAATTGACCTAAAATAAATGTCAAATAAAGAATGGAAAAAAGAAAAAAAAAAAAAAAAAGAATGGAAAAAAGAGAGAGATGCAGGAGATATACTAGCAAATTCTAACAAAAAGTAAAAGGTCGGGAAGGAAATCTGCAACATACTTTCAGATTGAAGGGTCTGATATCTCTATTAAATAAAGATCTCTGACAAACCAGTAAGAAAAAGACACAAGACAGAAAAAACATCAAAGGAGAGAAATAGACAATTCCTAACAGAAAAGAAATGGCCAATGACCACATGAAAAGATGTTCAAAATTAATAATATATAGGAAGATACATTAGTGACTTCTTTCAACAAATATTTCTAGAATGCTATTGTAGCTAATAAGTAACAGACAATCATTATATTCATAACACAGCTTATTTGCCCTGTATACTAAAGATACAGTGTTTATTACAGTTGCCCAATAAGAAACACAATGAAAACCAATGTCTTTATACTTATCCACTGAACAAACACAAGTGCTAAGTATACATTATCACAAAAAGGGTTACGTAATACAATAAGATATCATTTCACACCAACTAGGCAGATAGTGACAAGTGCTGATGAGCAGAGATTGGTGGTGAGGAGAAATGCGGAGAAATTAGAACTCTTACACATTCCTGGGCGGGAATGTAAAAACTGTGCAGCCATTCTGGAAAACAGTTTGGCAGTTCTTCTAAAGGCTGCACACAGAGTTACTATAGTACCAAGTACTTCTACTCCTAGGTATTTACCCAAGAGAAATGAAAATATATGTAATGAAATGAAAACAAAACTTGTATGTGAATGTTCATAGCAGTAGTATTCTTCATAATGGCCAAAAAAATTTAAATAAGCCCCAATGTTCATTAACTGATGAATGAATAAAGTGTGAGACATTCATATATTGGAATATTATTCAGCAATAAAAAAGAATGAAGTACTGATACATACTACAACATGGATGAAAACATGCTAGGAAGTCATTTACAATAAGACAACACAGTGTATGCTCCCATCTATATAAAATATCCAGAATAGACAAAGCTATAGATCTGTGGTTGCCTAGGGTTGAAAGGATGAGGAGAACAGGGGTTGATTGCTAAAAAGTACAGTTTCTTTTTGGAAAGATGAAAGAGTCCTAATATTGACTGTGGTGATGATTATATAATTCTGTACTAAATATTAATTACTAAAATCCACTGAATTGTATACTTTTAATGAGTGAATTGTATGGCATGTGAATTATGTCTCAATAAAGCTATTGGCAAAAAAAGTGTAACAGAAAAGAGGAACAAAAGTTAAAAAGTTTTATAAAAGTGATTTATAAATTCTTAGAACCAGTTATCAAATGTCATGGTCTGATTAACATTCAAAAGGAGGATTCTAAACAGCCAATTTTGTTCAATTCTGGTATCTAATATCCTATTTTTACAGCAAATTGTGGTAGTAGTCAACGAACAATGTAGAAAGGAAGTGCCATTCTTTGCAGTAGAACTGATTCAGACTGCATATCTTATATTGTTGAGTATATACATAAAGTCTATTTTAAAAAGTTTACTAGCAATTTGTCTATTGGTGGATTCTATCCCCCTTCAAGCAAAATAAAAACTGCAGAAAGAGAATAAAAGGATCACAAATGATTCCTATACTATATTTCAAGATACCTCTAAATCATAACATGTGGGACAGGAGCTCTTTGTGCGAAAAAGGAGTGTGTAAAATGAAGTCAAGTAGACTATCAGATGTATAGAGGAGAGGCCATGCCCTCCAGTTTTTAGCACAATGCCTAGCATATAATAGGTAGCAATATTTATCTGTTGCATGAATCAGCAAATAAAGGAATGGCAGGAAGACAGGAATCCAGGGAGGGCTTCAGGTGGATGAATGAAAAACAACAGCTCTAACTCCTCCCTTCAACAAACCCTTATTGATTACTTATTCTAAAAGAAAGCTATCTACAATATTATATCAACGTTATCTTCCAAAATGCTGCATAATTTCTAGATTTATACAACTCTGCATAGAATATTCCAAAATAAACAAGAAATTGAACCTTATATAAAAGCTACTCTGGCTCTGAGGCAACTGCAGGATCAGAATTCTTTATCTGCAATTCCAAAAGCTAAAAAGTTTTGAAAACCAAGAGATTTTTTAAGTTTTGGAGTCAAAACTCACTTGGGGAAAAGCTGACCTGAATTGATGTTAGCTAGTTTATCTATATACTTAGAATAACCAGACATTTCACTGAGAAACATTAGTATGTTTGGAGGTGCTGCTCGAGACTCCCCCAGAAGACTCTTGTAAAATGTGCACTAACTACCTTTGTAAAATCTGAAAAATTCTGAGGAACTCCAACCACATTTGGCTCCAGAATCTGAAAGAAGGTATTCTGTATTTATACGAAATTCCCTTTGAAAGACTAGAAAGAAGCTGGGAACAAAATATGGTCATAAAAGAAATAGAATTTGGCTGAGTCCCAATCTAAGTAACATATACTTGCAATGGCACCCCACTCCAGTTCTCTTGCCTGGAAAATCCCATGGATGGAGGAGCCTGGTGGGCTGCCGTCCATGGGGTCGCTGAGAGTCGGACACAACTGAGTGACTTCCCTTTCACTTCACTTTCATTCACTGGAGAAGGAAATGGCAACCCACTCCAGTGTTCTTGCCTGGAGAATCCCAGGGACAGAGGAGCCTGGTGGGCTTCTGTCTATGGGGTCGCACAGGGCCGCACACAACTGAGTGACTTAGCAGCAGCATTAAGAAAACATATAGGATTCAAATATAGCCATAAACATTAGATTTTTCTAAAATTATTTACAAAGGAAAACAAATTTTGAATCTTTCCTTTTTAAAGATTAAGATCCTGAACTTACCCTTTCACTTTTCACAGAACCTGTGACATCATCATCATTTAGGTGGCGCTTGAACTTGGGAGGCATCTTTTTTAATGAGGTACTCTTCTACTTCCCAGCAGGATAAATCTTTACCACCTTAAAGAGAAAATAAATTCCATCAGATTTGAAACTTTGGGGTGCAAGCTAAAGTAGTAAAATCAGCACACAAGGCCCGATGTGATGGGGCCCCCTCCACTTCTCTGACTTCAACTGCTCTCGCTCACAGGGTCTCCGCACCAGTGACCCTGGCCTCCCTCCATGCGAGGACTCAGTACACAAAAAATAGTTAAAACCCTGGGAAAAATGGAGGTAACTTTTAGAGAGCATGTGGAGAAAATCAGTGACAACATTTTTATAAAATGAAACAGAAGACTGCATAGGAGAGGAGAGAAAAACAGGAGATTGTCCCCTTGCAAGTGAGACATCAGATGCTTAAAGATTTTAATTTGGAGTCAGAAGACAGCAAATTCTCTCACTCACTTTTAGTGAGTTGCATCAACAATGATTCTGTTTCCCCATCTGTAAAACAGTGATTTCTAGGCTTCTGCATGGAGTTGGGATGGTCATATCAGATTAATACATACATGCAAAAATATTCTATAAATTATAATGCCCTGTTCCAATGCACAACACCAGATGCTCCAAGGAAAGGGATATGCTTGCTAAGTGCTGGGTTAAACAAAATCAGGTTTTCAGTTTGCTACAGAAAGTCTGTTTTTAAAATGCTTATTTGCATTAAGTTTTTCCAGGAAAATGCTTGAATATGCAACATATTCAGTTTTCTTGAGGAAAAGCTGACATATGCAAACAGAAGTTTTCAGTATCTTGGACAAGAAGATGGATGAATAATGAGAATAGCTAAGGTGTACTGAATATTTTACTATGTGTTAGGCACTGTGCTCAGTAACTTAGACACATTTTTTATTCTTTACAACACTTCTTTGAAGTAAGCACCAAGAAACCGAGAGAAAACTAAGGCTCGGTAAAGATAAGTAACAGTGTTAGTCACTCTACTGATTGAAATAGCAGAAAAATAGGCCTAAATTATTAATGACTGTGCATGATCAATTTTAGTATTTACTCAATAAATTGTCTATCAGGTTACACAATTCTGTTCTATAAAGACAACTTCCCTGTAACAACCCAGCAGCCCTCTTTCCCTTTGCACAGAACCACCTCTAAGATCTTTAAGCATAGACATCAGTTTGGTGGTTAGTATCATTCACTTAAAAAAGAATAAACAAGCCCAGAGTCCAGTTTCATAAACCAGATAAAGCAAAATTTTAAGTTGACTTCCCATCCAAACAAATTGATACAAACACTTTTCTTTGATAAGAAATAATTTTTCAAGCCAGAAACTTAATCACTTCTAACAAAAACCAAGTACTTGTTACCTAAATAACAGCTCTAGAGTTCTTCATTCTACAATATTTCTGTCACGCACATCCGGCATCTGACCCATTTTATTCCTCATACTTCGATTTCTGAATAATTCATTCATGCAGAAATGTTACAGAAAGTATGGAGAAACAGATGACAGAAGAAGCAACCAAAGGACTCGAGCTTTTACTTATACCTGTATTTTATTTATATTTTAAACCCTACAAAAGGGCTGCTTCAACATCCAAAAGCAAATAGCAGGCAGACTTACATAACATCTTTGTGAAACGTACAGTAAAACTACAAGTTTAACGATGAGCAAACCCAAATTCAGGGCCCATTAACCCAAGAATCAGCTTCATGAAGGCAAGAAATCAACGACTGACAAACATAAAAGCCATCAGCAAAACAGCAGGCAGATTATTAACTGCACTTAATAATCAGGGCAAATGATGATATTTGCACCAGACGACTAGTAGAAATAAACCATGCTCAGAAATTAGACTTATACATATTCTCCATAGATCTCTCCTGCCCAAAATACATATAAATTCAGGTGTTTGTGTCTAGGTATATATGTAAACAACAGAACCTTCAGTGATGCATTTCAACATCACCAATACATTTTTCTAATGTCACATCACCATAAGCTTATGCCATCATCATACGTTCACAATTTCCTGTATTTTTTGAAGAGGCAGTACGTAATATACTTCTAACCTGTTGTTTAGTAAATGTTGGCTTCTTTTTTGCTTTACGCAAACAACAAGCAAACCAAAACCCCTAGTATTTCATTTTACAAAAAGCTTGAAATCTGTAGAGAGGGCTCCCTTTCCCCAGCCTCCGTTCCCTTTCTGATTCCTCTTCCTAAACTCTCATCAGCAATCTTGGTTGGTGCAGTTTCACGGAAATAAGTGACTTGGATGGACACAGCCTGGAGACATTCTTCACAAAAGCTGTCAAACTGTTAACGATTCACCTCACCCTTCCGGTCATTATAAACGCAACGGGATTGGCGCGCTCTCTCCCCAGCCTTTGAATAAAGAAACAAATCCATCCCTCCAGCGAGCAGCCCCGTTCACCCGCCCCCGCATCAGACGCACCGGGTCACGTCCCCCTGCCATCTGCTCCTGACTCTAGTCCTTTCTACCCCAAGATACGCACTCACATTCCGGGCTTCTTCAGTCTTCCCTATTCCCTCCGCTGTTGTCCTCCCATCTCCCCAGAGCACCCTACAATTCCTATTCTTCTCCCCCTTAACCGCCCCTCATTGAACACCCAGGTCCTGTTCGTTCTTCCTCAGGGTAACCCGCCCATCCGACCCCAGCCTTTTCCCACTCTGCGACCCCCGAGGCCGGCCCTTCAGCCCGACGCGACGTTGGGGGCGGTGGGGCACGGACGTCGTCTCCATTTCCTTCGCACATCCGCCCCTCCCGTCGGGCCCAGGAGGACGGCCGTACCTGAGTCTCCCGGGGAGCTCCCGGCAGCTCTCCCGGGCGGGCGGCGCTGGACGGGCGGGGGAAGGAGTGGGACTCGGAAGAAGAGAGCGGGGAGGGGAGACAGTGGGCGCGGACCCGGCGTCGGCCGCTCAGCCGCAGCTGCGCCCCCGCTCATCGAGCCGATCGGCCCTCCGCAGCCTGGCGCCAGGCGGAGGGGGCGGGTCCAGGCCGCGGAGATCATCGAGGGAGTCGATTTCCCCCTCAACTCTCCTCTTGGAGGCCGCGGCGGACGCGAAGCTTAGGCCTAGATGCCCCAGGTGATTTTATCTGTTCAAGGAGGAAACACAGTCGCGGGTTCCCGGGTCCCAGCCGAGGTCGGGCGTTTCGGGGAGGTGGAAGAAGGTCTGAGAAGTCACCCGGCGCGGAGCGCTGAAGGCCTGCTCGAGACTGGGGTTGATGAGGCGTTAGTAAGGCGGTACTTTGTGCGGGGTCCATCCCCCGAGCTAATGTAGATGTGCCGAAAACTGGGACGGCTCGAAGCCTGAGGACTGGCCTTTTCTGAAGGAAGATGTGTGTGATCCCTTGTTTATAGCATCAGAGTTAGACGTGTAGATCTTCAGGGTTACTAATCCCGTCTCCCTATTTTCGACTTTAGGAATCTCTCGTACAAAGAGATTTCCTTGAGGTTGCCCAGCTCGTTGGACATTTTAGCATCTAGGTAGGACTCCGTGTTCTCTGCCCAGTATGCTGTAGACTTCTGTCTAACCTAAAATGCCTGGGTCCAGACACCACGCAGGCACCGGAGCCTTGTAGTGGGAAATCAACCTTGCACATCCGTTCTTCTGTTCTCTTGACAATGTCCACCTCCTCTCCCCCCAAGTTAATGGCTTATTTAAGTTGATAGTGCCTGGGCATAGTAATCCAAAACGGTTCCAGTATTGTTTTTGTTTTGTCTTGTTTATTATGCATCCCTCCCAGATACACCCCAGCTGGATTGTTCTTAATCTCTTTTTCTATCTATTTTTTTCCTACATGTCATTTTAACCAAATATTTTTAAGTTCTTTGTTGAATAGTGTTTTGATTTAGTGCATATTTAAGCCAAACAGACACTAAATGAAAGATACCTTGGTTGTCACTGAGCACCGGCTGGGCTCCCTGTGTTATATATAGCAGTTTCCCACTAGGTGTCTCTTTTACACATGGTAGTATGTATATGTTAATGATACTCTCTCAGTTCATCCCACCCTCTCCTTCCGCTCTCTGAAAAGTTTTTTTTTTCCCCCTTCATGTGTGCACAAACCCTTTGAGTCTGCTTTAGATCTTAGGATTCCAGCACTGAGACCGGGGCTCCAGAAATGCAACTCAATCACGTCCTGAGCCAACCTCAGTATCTGTGCACAGACGTAGTTCTACCTGCTCTTGATTTCCCAGACTACTCTTGATTTCAGTGATTCTATTTTTTGGTTCTAGAATTTCCATTAGAAACAGATTCTGATCCCCTGGAGAAATTCTTTTATCTTTTTGTCATTTTTTGGGAAAATTTTTAGGGGGGTGGCTGTACTGTGCAGCATGTGGGATCTTAGTTCTCCGACCATGGATTGAGCCCATACCCACCCATTGAGCCCATGGAGTCTTAACCCCTGGACCACCAGGGAAGTACCATTTTTGAATATTTGAATCAAAGACCTTGCCTGTTAATCTAATACATGAATTACCTGTGGGCTGGTTTCTATTGTGTATTTTTTTCTTGGATTTTGGTGCTATGACTCTCATCTCTGCTGGGTAGGTAAAGATGCTAAGCAGAAAACTTCTGAAAAACAGTGATTTTCTCATCCTAACCTCCTATACCAAGTATTACATCTTCCTAATTCAGCAAAATTTTGAGGGGAAACCATCAGGGCCCCTCAGTTCTTCCTTCCTTTCTTCTTTCTGAAATCCTGGCTCTCCAAGATTTCAGTTTTGTCTCTTGAGTCCTGTGAGAATCCAAAATATAACTGGTTTTTTTTCTTTTGCCCCCCTCCCAATGATGACCCTTGACCCAGGCAAAGCCCAGGTGCTCAGCCTTCTACTGAGAATCAGTAAGCACCTCCAGCTGGCCAAGGAAAATACTCTCCATTTTGCAGTTCCCCCTGTGGAATCTTGGCCCCTCCAGCCTCGATGCTCTAGCAGCTCTTGGATTGCTTTATAGAGATGCTGTTTGTATTTATCTGGCTTTTCCATTTATTCTTAGAGAATTGGTGTGTCTCAGTTTACTCCATCAGACCTGAAAGTAGAATTACATCCAAGCCACTCTTACACTACTATAAAGAGATAAGCTTACTTGCCATGACTACACAAGAAAATGAGAAGGAGGTGTTTCCAAGAGGAAGAATTTCTTATGCTCTCACATACAGGCAGGTACTTAGAACTCATTACTTATTATAGACTCTGACTCGGGGAGGGGGGCGGGGGGGGTGAAGGGGGGTGAGCCAGAATGAGAAGATTCTGGTTTCTTTAGGCAATGAAGACACATTCAGTCAGCATTGTTTAATCAGAAATACTTGGGTCAGCTCCCCTTCTGCCACATATTACAGAGTTGGTAGAAAGACAAGTAGGGTGTCCTTTTACTTTACATTTTTCTCTCTATATATACATGTATAGGCTGTAGCTAAACCTTTTTGTGCATAATATGTACACATTTACCATTTTTATTAGACTTCTGAATGTTTTTATGTTTTTCATTTTTAATCTTTCTTTTTTCAGCAAAGAAAATATCACATACTCTGCTCACGCTCATTTCAAAGCCTGTAACACAATCCGTGAAGTTGGTCTCAGAGTCACAGTCACACTTCACTGACATCAGAAATCACAAGGGTTCCTTTATCATAGTTCTTGCTTTAGGTGCTATTGTCACAAGTGGCATCTGAGCAGTTATTTAGAAGGAATGAAATTATGCCATCGAAATACCTGGAATAGATACATTTCAAACTTTCTTCACAGGATGAAAAGTTAAAATGAAAGAAATCTTTCCGTACCAAGTTTTTAAAAAATATAGTCTAGTTTTCTCTATGGATCAAGTTGGCCTCTCTTGTTTATTCTTTATCTAATTATAGATTTAAGGCAGTACCAAAAGGAAAAACTCTCATGACCATGAAGAATCATTCAAGGCCCTCTTATTAAATGAAAGACACCGTATATACACATATACCAAAAACCTTGGCAATCTTGTGAATACGGACCCCTTATTATTAATAAAATCATATCTCTAAATGCCTCAGAATAAAATGTGCATAATTACAAAGGAAGGAAATTTATAATATTACAAAACATTTTAAAAGCAAAATTTGTGATATGCAAAGATACATACTTCTTTATTAACTCAAATTTTAAATAATCTAGTGTCAGGAGTAACATCTACCATTATTTTGAATTAGTAATGAGCATAAACAGTATTTCAGGATATCTGATTGTAATGTGATATGAAAATCTTAGTGATTTCTATTGGTGACACAGTCACTAGCACTACTGAGCAGTTTTAAGGGGCTCCATTTATAGGTGAAAGTGAAAGTCACTCAGTTGTGTCCAACTCTTTGCAACCCCATGGACTACACAGTCCATGGAATTCTCCAGGCCAGAATACTGGAGTGGGTAGCCTATCCCTTCTCCAGCAGATCTTCCCGACCCAGGAATTGAACGGGGGTCTCCTGCATTGCAGGTGGATTCTTTACCAACTGAGCTATATAGTTGAAGGAATTAACAATTTCTGTTAAGAGATTACTGAAAAGAAAGATGTAATTTCTTTCCCATCCAAATTCACAGACCCCTGAATTTTATCCATGGGTCATCAAGGGTCCCCCAGTTTGGAACTCATGCTTTAAGTATTTCATCCTCTGCTACAGAGTGGGTGATACTGAGGGTAAAGTTTCTGAGTGAAGAATAAACAACTGTTTCTGCTCTGATACACCCAGGCACAGAACGTTCCCCCTCCTGATTAGAATACTTCTTATTAACACGCCCATAGCTCTGCCTTGCCCAAAGTCATTGCGACATTCCTGAGAATCTTAGAGTCTATAGTACAATAAAAATATCCTGCCCTGAAAATACAGGCCGAGTTCTTATTAAGTATCAGGCCCTATGTCATATACATTATTCACCCAATTATCATGCAACCCTATGAGGCAAATGTTATTATTCCCAGTTTACATAGACTCATCTGTAACTCATTTTTCATTCTGAAAAAGTTTATTGAACACCTGTTGTCTCTGTTGCTAAACTAGGTGCAATGGTTTAAATACAGACACAATTGCTGTCTTCAGACTTTATAATATAGCAGGAAAGACGGGCAGAAATAAATTACATAATTACATAACGTGATGTAAAAGAACACTTGTTTTGAAAAGAATAAACAAGTGGCTGAGAATGAAGGGGACCTATTTTAAAAGTTAGGGTTGTCAAGAGAGTGGGTAACATTTAAACTGAAACCAGAAGTATGAGAGAAACCAGTCATGCATAAAGCAAGAGAAAGAGTATTCCAGGCTGAGAGAATAGTAGGAGCAAAGATTATTAGGCAGGAAAATTTGGCATTTTTAACAACAATTTTTAAATTGTGGTAGAAAATGCATGATATAAAATTCATCATCTTAACCATTTTATACTGTATAGTTCTGTAGTGTTAACTACATTTACTTTATTGTGCAACAGATCTCTAGAAATGTTTCATGTAAAACTCAAACTCTGCACCCATTGAACAACTATCCAGTTTCCCCTCTCCCAAACCCCTGGCAGTGAAAACTCAACTTTGTTTCCATGCATTTTGACTACTTTAGATAACTCATATAAATGGAATAATAATGATGTTTGTCTTTTTGTGACTGGCTTATTTCACTTAACACAATATCCTGAAAGTTCATCCATGTTGCAGCACATATTAGTTTCTTTTTTTAAAAACACTAATACTTTTTTTAAAGGTGTATATAATATCCCACATTTTCTTTATCCATTCATCCATCAGTGGATGTTTGGGTTTCTCTACCTCTTGGTTACTGTGAATAGTGCTGCTGTGAACATGAGTGTGCAAATATCATTTGGAGATCTTGCTCTCGGTTATTTTAGATATAAAACCAGAAGTGGGATAGCTGGAGCATATGGTAATTCTATCTTTAATTTTTTTTTGGGGGGGGTGGGAACCTCCATACTATTTTCCATAGTGGCTGCACCAATTTACATTCCCACCATCAGTGCACAAGGGATCCAAATTCTCTACCTCCTCAGCAATACTTGTGACTGCCCAGGCTGCCCAAGCCCTGCTGAAGAGGTGCATATTGCACAGGTACATGAGGTGAAGCTCAAGGTGGCCAGGGATCTGGAAGAGGGCAAGGGTCTGGAGAGAGGTCAATGTGAGCAGAATTTTAGGGATAAAGGTATATACCTAATCCCAAGCCCTAATCTACTCAATTGGGATATTCCCTCAGAAGACAGATTTCCAGGTGACTCTACTGCCTTGGGAGGGAAGGACTAGGTGGACTGGCTAGAGTATCATTCAATCAGGAGACACCTGGGAGCTCTGGTTGCTAGAGAGGCCTGGAACCCATCAGGCACCAAAGCCAAACGGGGGCTGGCTCTCACCAGTTTAAGACCGCCACCTCATAATGATCTTTAGGGCGTGGGCTTCTTACACCCTGGAGGCTATGCAGGTGGGGGGTTGGTACTGTGCAGGGCCCTGTAGGGCTCCCGGGCACAAGGCCTTTATGTGTCCCCTGTTTTTTGGATTACGGGAAACAGCCTTCATTTGCCTCCCTGGCCTTCCCTGAGTTCCAGTGGGCAGATTCAAGCAGTTGTTAATTAGGGAAGGGAGGGGATGAGAGACCATGGACAAACTGTCAAGAGCATCCATGGGGCAAGGTCCTCTTTCCACATCAAGGGATATACATAATATCTTTGAGCTATACTGCAGATACTGAAAACCCCTCCAGGTGGGAGAAGTTAACAATTAATGATGGTATGCTGTCCACAGGCATGTAGACCCCAGGCCAGTTGGACCTGAAGGTTGATGATGCTCCTCCTACTTAACTCACCACCAACCCATCAAAAGAATGTCAGTGAGCTGACCACGCCCTCTTTGAGCAATTACTATAAAATTTCTCATCGTTTTCTCCAAGTTGGGACTCAGAGTTTTGAGGGCGTTAGTCTGCTGTGGCCCCCTTTGCCTGGCAAAGTAATAAAGCTATCCTTTTCTACTTCACTCAAAACCCTGTCTCAGAGATTCAGTTTGACACTGGCTTGCAGAGAAGCTGAATTTTCAGCATCCGGGACTGGCCAGATAGAGCACCACAGACCTGGAAGCCCTGGAAGAACCCACACAAGGACTAAAAAGGAATGTTGTTCCAATTCTGAGCAAACCACACTCCTGTTCTCAGATGAGTCATGAATATTTCTCCCTCTCTTTACTCAATTCCCCCTCTTTTACCCTGACCCACCATAAATGTGGTGTTTCAACCCAAGTTGAGTTGAGAAGTTGGTTTCTGTATTAACTTCCCACCTCTCCATTCTCTGGCCACTGAATAAAGCTGTGCTATTTCATTCTCACCATAGGTTTTGTTATTGGCTGTTCAAATCTGAATGGAAAGAGAACCTTTCAGACAGGGTGCTTTGACTGAGCTAGGGGCCAGCTGGAGTTCCATACAACCAACTCAGTGACAGCCAGGAATCGGAACAAGGCAGGTGTTAGGAGACACAGGTCAATGGAGTGGGCTTTTAAGGATACAACTCATCTGCCTAATTCCAAGCCCTAACTTACACAAATACGCATATTCCCCTTGAAGGTAGATCTAGAGGAATCTGGTCTTAGCAAGGTGTGGCTGGGCAGACTAGCCAGAGTATCCTCCAATAGGACACACTGGGAACTATGTTTGCTGAAGAAGCCCAGGACCCCATCAGGCAGCACGTCCAAATGAGGACTGAGTGTCACCAGTTTAAATCTGCCGCATCAGAAGGGTTTTCAGGTGGTGGGCTGCCTTTACCTTTGGAATTATGCAGGTGGTTGGCAACTGGACTGAGCTTTATGGGCCTGGAAGGCTCTGGCTGCCTGAGGCCAGGTGAAAGGGTATGTACTGGGCATGATCATTCAGCAAGATCAGCTTGGCCGGGAATCCGAAACAGAGCAAGTGTTAGGCATGGCCAGGATATT